ACTGGGTGCTCCATATTTTCAGACTTGTGCCACATATAAGCTGCGCTTAGAAAATCACTATTCTATAACCGTGTCGTCTGCAGGAAGAGCGGAAAAGGGGTGAATTTAACAAAAAGCTTGTTCAGACTTAGTGTCGGTAATTAGGAAGAATCGATGTTTCCCTACTTTTATCCGTTAAAACGAGGTATGAATTTAATTAAAATTTTTAAAAAATGGTTATTTTTCTCACTTTTGCTGTTCTTTTTGCGTTTATCTTGGTAAATAATTTGGTAGATATTTGTTGTCGCTTACAAGGTTATCGCCTGCGAGAAAAAATACTTAAAAAAAATTAACTGATTTCTTTATGTTCTTCTTTTTGCTGTATTTTTTTGTCCAGTGACCCCACCACCAAAAATAGAGATAGAAAGAGAGATAAATAAACATGTAAAAACAACATAAAAATGGAAAGAAAATATAGATTTCCGTGATTAAAAGTTATTCATTCATTGGTCTCTAAAAGATTTGTTCAGCGAAATCTCCCACCATATATTTGGCAGACTCTCCGTCATATTCCAAGTTCTCTCTCTCTCTCTCTCTCTCTCTCTCTCTCTCTCTCTCTGATTTTCTTCTTTTTTATTTTATCATTTATTTGTGACAATTCGCAGCTTTTTCACTTTCTTCGTTGTTACTCTGTAATTACTGAAGTAATACATTTTATAGACCCTCAGAAATAAGACAGTAAAACTGAGGATCGCTTAGCTAACGTATTTAGTGTAAGAGAGGACCAGAAAAATTGATTTTCACTTTCAAAGAGCATTTATATATATATATATATATATATATATATATATATATATATATATATATATATATATATATATATATATATATCTGAGCCTCGGACACTTCCTGAAAAAATTATTACTTTAGCAGGGCAAAATACATGACCACAAAAATAGTCAAAAATTAAAACAAGATGGTTTAATCCTTAATCTCATGTTATTCAAAACACATATATGAAACCCAATCCAAAATAATTTAAATATTAATTTACATATATACACATAAAATAAAATTCTCCTACACACTTTCGTTTATTGGGCATTGAATTGTATCATCTCACGTCCATGAATTTGTTTGACTTTTCCATTAAGCTGATGAATATTACATTACTCAATAACATTTTTGCTCTTGCTTATAAATACTTGTCTCAAAATAAAATCCTTACAATTGCCCTGATAAAGCCTCTCAGGACGAAACGCGTCAGCTAAGATAACTTTTCCTTTTGGCTTTATTCATATTGTCTTTTTATGGATATATTCTAACTAAAGTTATATATATATATATATATATATATATATATATATATATATATATATATATATATATAAAAGTGAACATTTAAGTCAACACTTAGAGGCGACAGTCTGTTTCATGCTAGATCCTTGAAGAGGTGTTGAGGTTTCATACTTATACACACAATCGCACAAATATATACACTTCACACAAAAGAAATAAAAGATAACATGCACTTAACACAAACGTCATATTTCCAGCAACCAATAAAACTGTCAAAATGGCCAAGGAGGTAATTCTTAAAGTCAGGAATCTCCCATCTTCTATCTTAAAAACAACTTGAAAGAGGCCATTTGACCAACACACGGACTGACTAAAATTAACGATAAAAAAGAAATGAAAATTACAGATGAAGTTCACTTTCTTCAGAAACAGTCATTCATTCCTGTCGTTCACGGCTATTAACATTTTCTCCTGATGATGGCCATACAGGCCGAAATTAGTCGAGAACCTATCTGAAATAATAAAACAAAAAAGTAATAATATACAACCTGTTTGTCTGAAAATATTTTATTGTTCAAAACATATATATATATATATATATATATATATATATATATATATATATATATATTAATAATAATATTAATAGAGTAATATCAAAACCCACTAATCAGTTTCATGTGATAACAATCATATGGCGGTCAAAATATAAAACCAACGGGCATAAAAGAAAAATAATGGAAGCGTGTGATAGCAAGGAATCCCACGTATGTTACATACAGAAGAGAGTACGTCCTTTGAACAGACCGTGCAAAGTGATGTTGTTTATGAAGCTAAAACAATTAGTAAAGGCGAGGCAAAATACGAGGGCGAATGAGAAAATGCTTCTAAAACCATAATATTATATATATATATATATATATATATATATATATATATATATATATATATATATATATATATATATATATATATATATATATATATATATATATATATATATATATATATATATATATATATATATACTTTTTTAGAGGATTATAGTTAGAACATGAGAAAATTGTTACGTAAATGCACACTTATTTCGATGTATGTCATCGCATCTCATCAGGTGGTAGTAAATGAGGATTATTACAATTTTTAATATTTACTAACAAACAACATCTGATAATAAATAACAATATTAATTATAAATAATACTATTAATTATTACAATAAATAATAGTCGTATAATAAAGAATATTGTTCTACTGTTGTATTGATCCCTATTTTTAAATTAATGTTGTGAACGTTTGAATATATATTTGATTCGTTCTCATTTCACTTGGATATTTATAGAGAGTGAAAGAGTGATATATATATATATATATATATATATATATATATATATATATATATATATATATATATATATATATATATATATAGATTGTGCATTTAAGTAGCAAGAATCTATCCAGTTCAACCGACAATGTTTGTCTATTATATTTTTATAGTATTTTTTTCAGTTTCCGTATACGATGTATATCATGATTGAATTTATAAATAAAGTGTCCAAAGTTCATTTTTTTTTTTTCTTGTTTTGTTCAAATACTTTCGAATATTGTCATTATCAAGAACCCCGTGTTGTAAGTATGGTATATGCAGGGCTTGGCGAAATTATTAAAGACTTTGTTTTCTATTGAAGCAATTAAATAAAGTGGGAACAAGAGGCTACGCTCTGGGTAAATGTCATAATGATCGTAAAAAGTTACTTGTGCCATCCAAGATAGAAGAGGTTTACATAAAATTGCTGGTCTAGTATTAAGAGTTGTGAGCATGCGAGGATTATATAAGTTTTGCATTAATATTGCTAGATTACTTTGTTTTCTTTGACCAGGACATTTGTAGACTTACAACATCTAACGAGTCTAAGATGCTATTTTTAGACTTATTATGGTTGGAAAACATTTTCTAATGAATGAAAATAAGACATTTGTAGTTAAAGGCATGCAGAAGTATATAACTAAAGGGATGAAGACAATGGTTCGAAAACTGTGTTGAATAACAGAAAATAAGACATCACCAAACTTAATAAATTACAGGTGTACCGAATTCTATGATTAGAAAGATAAAGGAAACGGTTCGAAAATGAAGACAATGGTTCGAAAATTGTGTTGAATGAAAAATACATTTCATCATCGAACTTTGGAAATATCGGAGTGCAGAATTATATAATCAGGAATATGGAGAGAATGGTAGAAATTTTGTGTTTAATAAAACATCATGGAACTTCAGGAAATGCAAAAGACCATAAATATAGAATCATAAAAATAGACACTTGTTCGAAAATTGCGTTTAATAAAAGAAAACAAAACTTGTGGAAATACTGGAGTGTATAAGCATGCAATGGCAATGATGAAGAAAATGGTTTACTAAGCGTAGTTTAGATGTGGAACAAGACCGGAAGTACGGGGACACCCAGTGAGGATCAAACTCACTCATCAGTCGTAATTGATCTAGCTAGGCAAACCTGCTAACCATTACACCACGTCGAAATGTCTCAGTAATGACGAAGAGAATGGTTCGAAAATTGTGTTGAATAAATGTAACTCGGGCATCATCGAAATTGTGGAAATACAAGAGTATAGAATTCTATAATTACAAAGAGGAAGAAAATGTTTCGAATATGAAGAGAATAGTTCGAAAAATGTATTGAATCAATGAAAATAAGACATAATCAAACTTAAATGTAAGAGTGTTGACGTGTATATTTAGAAAGATGAAGACGGCCATGAAATTAAGGTGGTTCATGAGTTTATGGTGATGAATTAACAAAGATGGAAACGGAATATTCTGTTGAATAATAATAAAAAATGCGTTTGCTGTGAACTTAAGGAAATATTGATGTGCAGAGGAATATATTAAGAAAATGACAAGAATGGTTTGAAAATTGTTTCGATTGAAGAAAACTTGTCATGTTTAAACCCTTAGCAAGACAGTTATCCAGAGTATGAAATGAACTAAGGCAAAAAAAAAACTGCTCGAACAATACGAAAAAAATGAAGATCCTTAACCTCGTCCTTATAAAACAATTACTTTTCAGTTTTCTATGTTTATTAAATGGCGTCGCTGTAAAGATCACTGTCAAATTTTACACGTTAAAACAATTTCTTTTCTTTTCTTTGTAACTTAATTAAAAAAACAATTTGAAGAATTTGTTGGTAAAATACTTTTAATCATATCTAACACATAATACAAAAAGAATTTGTTTTTAAACTGAAAGCTGACAAAAGTACACATTTTTGTAAGAATTTTTTGTTTCTTTGTTCTGTTTGTTCTTACAACTTGGTTGTTTTTAAAAGTTTAATTGCTGAAATATTATGCGTGGTATTTTGAAAGCAAAGATAAAATTTTATACCGTGTCTCGTAGCTTATAAGACATAATATTTCTTATTCTAATCTTCATTGTCATGCTTCTGTAGATTGGGCGTGGAAATAATCTTGTTCTATCAGTCGCCCCCAGCAGTATCAAGTGCAGGCTGTTGAAAATTTATCTCAATTTTATTTCTCCTGCATATTTCTTTTTAACTTTCTGTTGCCTTCTGTCTGCCGTTGCATCGTATATATGGACAAATCTGGCAAAGACAAAAGATTTTTAAATAATAAAAAAGTTCCAAAAACCCCAAAAGTTAATGATTCTTATTTGAAAGGAAAGGCCATTTTTTTCTTTGTCATTTTCATTCCCCTATTAAAGAAGCCACTGAAAACTTCAGTGGGACTTTTGGTGCCTCTTTGACTGCATCCTCGGTGGAACTGTTTCTCTTATGACGAATACCATTCAAATTTTCTGTATCGCTTTTCCGATTGCTACAGTTCAGTAAGATCCTTTCGTTTGCCGTATACGTATTTTTAGATGACGTCAACAAACTTTCAAAAGCGGACTTCCGCTGTAAAAGTTCATCAGTTGTACATAAATTTTTCTGGTTGCTTTTTGTAAAAGCCGACTGTTTTCTGTTTGAATTGAACGACATCGACACCATGTCGTTGCTTTCATTGCCGATGGAGTTAATGCCTCTGATGTTGTGATGTCCAGTGCCACCATGTTGGAGAACAGTCACCGGAAATTCTTTGACGCGTCCACCGTTGTGGAGGTTTAAGGCCAGCAATTGGTAGTCGAGCGATTTTTGTAAATTCTGGAGGTGGTTAGATGTAGCAGAGGGCGATGGCGGTGGGTTAGAGTTTGGAGACGACGCTGCAGAGGAACATGATAGATCAGCGGCTGTAGAACAGGGAGGAGCTGTGATGTGCAGCAGGGGAGGAGAAGATGGAGAGGGAGGCGGGGAGGTGGATGAATGATGCAGGAAATGAGAAGGGGTTTGTGGTTCTGGTTGCAGATGGACGATCTGAAATGGGAGACCCGTAGGGTAATGCCCCAGTACACTCTGTCCGTTTAAAGTCTGAGGGCAGTGACCAATTGGAGTTGTTTGGGAATTTGAACCAGGGGACCCAAGTCTTGAGTGCATTCCAGACGCAAGCTGTTCAATGGCTCGTTCGAGGTTCCCTCCACACCCTTGCCAAACCAGTTCCAGAACGTTCGGATTGAGTCTTGGAAAGATTCGAAGAAGAAATTCTTTGGGGTTATAGTTGCTTAAAGGATGGCGTGGTTGTGTACCGTCCGAGGGAACACTGTACAAATTTGTAGCTGCCAGTGGGAATGGAAAAGCCCCACTGACCCCCAGAGACGTTGAACAGTTTGCTGCTGCTGCTGCTGCTGCTGCTGCTGCTGCGGCGGCGGCGGCAGCATTACTTTTTGTTTTGGCTACAATCTCAGCTTGCCTTTCCCGCTCAAACATGACGACCTCTAGTTCTCTATCCGCGAAACAGCGACGTTTTCTCATGCGTTCGTTCATGTATGGCAAAACATTGCGAAGAGCTTCAGGTGTCGGGAGTGAATGTAACCGAGAACGATAACCTAGGAAAGAAAAAATATATTATTAAAATTATTATTTTATTTTATTTTTTTTAAATAGGCATTTATTTACGTTTGATACCAAAAAAAAATAAAATAAACATAATACCAACGGACTTTCAGTCAGTTAAGCACCGTACCTAATACACACTTAGAAGATCATGTCTCTTTCGATTCATGACTGACTAGGCAGAAGATGTTCCCGCAGTAGGTTGCCGTTTCTTTCTGCGGTAGACTGGTTGCCAATCAAGGCTATAGGACAGATTCCTAGACCCAGTCGTTGAATCAAACGCTCAAGCAACTCACAATTCATTTTTAATTGATCGAGAAAAAAAAGTTCGTTAACCGTTACACTCTATCGAAGTGCCATTAAGAATAAATAATATTCATCCTGGAAATCATAAAACTATTTTTAATTCCTGCGCCAAAAACAGTAACACTGCTTCCAACGGTTTGAATTACGTCATTAACCTTTTTATAACCAATCAGAAAATAGAGAATGCGGCACTAAACATTAGGCTAAGCGCAGATAACTGTTCAACATCTTACTCCGGAAAATATTAGTCTTCTCTTTTTATAGTCTGTCTATATTTCTGAGATGAGGTATTATGTACATTATTTACATTATTCGGACTATTGTCCTCATCTTTGTCGCCATATTTATTACAACGTTGTACGCTCCGGCCTTCTTCAGGTGGTTGGAATGTCAAACTGAACCCTTTATTTCGCTCACTGGGGTAGACTGTTCTAGTTCCAGGTGCCATGTTAATTTCCCTCTGAAAGTTCTCCACTGCCTTAACCGGGTATTGAACTCAGACTCTTTGGGTTTTGTCACTGGATCTAACCAACGCCTTTATCCACTGTGCCATATGTATGATTTTAAGTTGTTATAAACCTAATGTCTTCAGCAACCATTTTTACCAGTGATCATATTGCAATTTTTGCTGTTATCATTGCATGTTTTTACATCCATCAAACATGACACGTGGAACTAGAACAGTCTACCCCAGTGAGCGAAATAAAGGGTTCAGTTCGACATTCCAACCACCTAAAGAAGGCCAGAGCGTACAACGGCCGAAACGTTGTAATAAATATGGCGGCAAAGATGAGGACAATAGTCCGAATAATGTAAATAATGTTCCCTTTTTGTTTTGTACTTTATTTGCTCAGATTTCTTTATCATTATGAGATGTCCCACCTGTCGATCATGCAAAATATGTGGCTAAATACTGGTTGCTTCGGGTCTATTCAGATGTTTCAAATTTGGTCTTGTTTATTGAATGAATGAGAGTTTATTTTTATTTCAATATAATCAGAACAATAGAGTGCCTATTAATATCAGTCTTACTAAGTATAAACTCTTCAAAAAAATTATATTACATCAGCCTTTATTGACTCCATTCTTAAAGAATCTAACGTAAGTTTATCTAAAACAAACGGCGTGCACATACAAACGTTTTCAACATGCGAAGAACCAACAAACATTATGTCTATTAATCACACACACACACACACACACACACGCACACACACACACACACACACACACACACACACTTACACAAAGCAATATTTACGGTTTGTCAGATAAGATTGGAATACAATAATTTCTTGAATTCGGAACGCCACAAGTTTTAAAAGTCGAATGCACATGAAAAATGATTAACTAATTGTTGTGGATTCTGAGATGAAATTCGGTCTCCAATGAATGACAAACGCAGGAATGAAATATAACAAATAATTGTATTTAAACAATAATACAATTGGTAATACGGTTAGTAGATCCAGAAACGTGGTTAGTAGCAATAATATATATATATATATATATATATATACAGTCTGGTAAATCCAGTCTCGAAGTAGCACATCTTTAGAGTCTACGTGCTTGTACCTGTGACATCTACAAGCGGTTACCTCACACTATTACTCTACCTCCAACTCAATCACAATCTCTGCTCTTACTGACTCTGGGTATTTAACGGCAGCAGTCCAAGTACACACTGGTCGAGTCCACTTGTATGAAAAAGGGGTGGAACCCATATTACAAATCAAACAACACAAAATACCAGAAATTCTTCTTTTTCTCCATATTTCATTCTCTGAGGAAGCTTTAATAAAAGTGAAACATGTTAGACTGATATACGTTTTCTATTTGTTCTTTATTTTATCATTCTGTCAGACTCCAATCCATAGTCATTGGTATAATGGAGGATGAAATCCTGGGTATGATGATAGACTACATATGGCAGCAAGGGATCGGATTGGAAGATTGGAGATTTGAGGAGCATAAAACTTAATTACTTTTGTTCAAAGTTCCCTCTGACTTAGGCTGGTAGCACTTATTAGGGCCCCGGCTAAACAAAATGAAAACATTATAAAAGTATAAAAATACATTTTCATATAAAAAAATTACCAGCAATAACTTTTTATGATATATATTTAGTTGAAGCCATGAAATTGTTCAAAATGTTTAGATTTCAATTTTAAATAACCTATAGCTGTTTATATGCTGCTAAACAAAATCAACCAACTGCTTAAAATTAAAGTCGACGTATGAATGGGTAATCAGAACAATTGCCATGAAAATATTTATAAAAAAGACACAGGAAAGACATAGGAAAGTGATTGAAGCTAAGATACCAAGTGCAAGACCAATAACATTGCAAATTCTTTTTTGATTTTATCCAGTATCTATCTATCTATATATATATATATATATATATATATATATATATATATATTATATTTAAAGCACCAAACCAGATGTGGCAGCAGTATTCAATGCTGGAGTATATTGTAAACTTATAAAGACATAATATAGAATCTGGTAGGAAAGATTGTCTAGCATGACACAGTGAACCAACTTTCATTGGTTAATCATGTTTCATGTGCATTCGACTTTAAATATTTAAACATTGGTTTAAAAAGTTGAATGCATGTTAAACATGATTACCAATGAAAATCAAACCCAAAAGTAAAATTACCAGAATTTCTATCTTTTTTTCGTCATATCTCATTCTCTGATGAAGCTTTAATAAAAGTGAAACATGTTTATTTATAAACGTTTCAAATTTGTTCATAATCATGTCATTCTATTGGATTCGGTTCCGTATTTGATTCCAATTCATAATCAGAAGCCTTTAATTCAGAATTCGATAGAATTTCTTTAGGACTAATGCTTTTCGTTTTTCTTAGACTTGCATGGCACCCGTTATCCATTCTTCTTACTGAAACGTTAGGCTAAAAAGACGTTGAAATTGATCCTAAAGAAACAATATTTAGTAGTGTCACCATTTCATTGCAGGCCTTCTGAAAGAAAGAAAGCTAAACGGCTCACTGGGAGTATGTTCTAGTTCTGATGCCTGTTACATCTGGTGCCATTCCAAAGAAATTTTAAAACACGGAAATGTCAATGATCTACGTTGACTCTTAAACGAATCGGTCCATATCATTTCCGTTATCATTTGTTATCTGTAGACTTTAATATTTTCACAAGTCCTCCAAAGTCGGAAAATACTTTTGGAAACGCTGACAGTGGGTATCTTGAGATACGCATCATTAACTGTTGCGTGGGTAGTAAGATAATTTCTGATATGAGTGTCAGTGTGTTTTGAAAGTAAGTAAGATACCGGGCACGTATGAATTCGCGTACGCTTATACAAACACACATACATATACATAGTTGTGTATATGGGTAGCAATCCCTATCTAATACATGTTTCATTAAAAGCGACTGACAACAAAGTACTTTTAAGTTTTTTATTGTTCTTTTTGTATGCGAACAAGATATTTCTTTTTTGAACTTAGTGTGTGTAGAAAATTCTTCAAATGATTGCTCGTTCTTAGAGCTTTCGGCTAATCTGTTAGTGATTTACGAAAATTTTGGTTTCAGTTCGTGTACAGATTATTGAGACGTAAACATATTTGTTATCCCTGTATATATACACGCACATGCGCTCATATATATTTAAAGTCCCCTCCAAAAGTATTGGAATAGCAAAACCGATTCCTTTGTTGTTCTTCATAACTGAAGACATTTGGGTTTAAGAACAAAAGATTACCAGAGTTCAGAATTTCAGCATTTATTTCCTGGTATGCAAAATTTCACCAAGTTCTTTTCAAAAAACTAGAGAATTATTTTTTTATTATGTCGTGTTTCTTCAGGAGGTAGGCAATCATGACTCTCCACAATTTCCTTTTATTTATTATATGTGAGACGTTATGACTTCTTGGGAAAGATAGTGGAATAGTTTCCTGTTGCCTTCTCTAAAGTATTGAATACAGAAGACTCCTTCTAGACTTGCTGCCATCCAAAGCTAGAGAACCCAGTTTCTACCCCGAGGGACTTAACACATAGTTGAAAATCTGTTTTTCGCTTGTAACTTTTATAAAGATATTTATATGACGTAATCTAATTTGAAATCATTCGGATAAGCGTATTTGATAGTTTTTAATAATTGAAGTTTTTTCCGTCATAGATATAAATGTGGGCAAAACTTTTTTAAATAAATTGTTTATCCAGTGAAGGGTTCTAACTATATTTTTCTTGCATACTGCATATATTTAACTTCTCTAAATATTTTTTAAAGATTTTAGTTCATAGAACTACAGCCATAAATTCGGCGAAAAAAATAGAGTGAGCACTATCTGAGCTAGACTAAAAGAGCAAGACGAGTTATCCTCTAGACGAGTAATTCTCAACCAGGGTCCATATGGACCCTGGAGGTCATAGTTAATAAAATCGAATTGATCTCAATATCATAGTAATATTTAAAATATGATTGATTTGATGCTAGTAGAAATACAGTTTATATTACTGACGTTGAGTAGTTGAATATATAAGTGGATGAAAATGAATAAAAAAAGGATAAGGCCCATTTCATCATCTAGAATAAAGGTAAAATTAATTTCAGTAATCTATTCTAAACCTTTTCAGTTGTTTTATTAAAATAAATAAAGACATCATGTTGTTCCAAGAACTTTTATAAAATCACTTTACATCTATCTATCTATCTATCTATCTATCTATCTAATGAGTACAGACGATCCTTAAAAATCCATTCGGTTATAATTTATTTCATGAATATATAAATATTGATCTCTTCAGACCGAATTTTTTTTTTAATTAATGGAGTTAATATATCCAGAGAAAAAGAAAAGGGAGAGGTAAAAAGAAAAAAAGAAAAGGAAAAAAATTAATATTAAAAGCGGAATAAAGAAACTTTAAAATTTCAATATAAGGTTTTTAAAAAAATTGTGGGTGAATGGAGAAAGAGAAAGAGGGGAGGGGATAGAGAAGGAGAGAGGGAGAGAGAGAGAGAGAGATAGGGAAGAAAAGAAAAGAAATGGAAAATGTACTCATTAAATGGCTGTTACTTACATTGAGCTCTGTTTGTATTAATGACACCGTTAGAATGTTCCCTACTAAGTATCAATTGATATTATATATATATATATATATATATATATATATGTATGTGTGTGTGTGCGTATATATATATATATATATATATATATATATATATATATATATATATATATATATATAATGGATGTTATTCTTAATGCAACTTCTGCGGTGATTTTATGTGTAACCAAGTATTTCCGTTTTGTATGGGAAATTGTTAAACTACTGAAGGATCCTAACTCTCTCTCTCTCTCTGTATATATATATATATATATATATATATATATATATATATATATATATATATATATAGTGGATACAAAAAATGCTAACATCAATTATAGAAACAATTGTTCTAACCGGAAAAAAACAGGAAAAGAAAAATCATTTGGTATACCCCTCCGTTCAACCAAATGTTTAGTATTAAGCTAGGACAGAAATTCCTAGCTTTAATTGAAAAACACTTTCCTACCAATAGTAGACTTAGTAAAATATTTAATAAAAACACCCTAAAATTAAGTTACAGGTGCACTGAAAATCTAGAAAGTATAATAAAAAACACAATAATAAAATCCTGAACAAACCCCCATGCTTGAATAGTATTAATAAAAACTCTACACTTAAATTAGACAAAAATAGTGAAAAATTATGTGATTGTAGAAACCCACAAAACTGCCCATTTGAAAATAAAAGCCGCGTAAAATCTGCGGTATACCAATGTAGTATCTCATCCATTGAGAGTCCTAATACTAATATGATATACATTGGGTCTACGAAGAATAAATTTAAAACCAGATGGAGGCAGCATATGTGCTCTTTCAACAATATAAATAAAAGAATTCAGACATCTCTATCTAAATATCTTTGGCATTTGAAGGAAATGAATAAAACACCAAAAGTAAAATGGAAAATTATAGACAAAACTAGAACTTGTAAAACTTGGAATGACCCATGCCCTTTATGCTTACATGAAAAACTACACATTATTAAGTTTCTAAATAATAAAAATCTATTAAACAATAGACAGGAGTTAAAGGTTTTTTGCCGACATCATAAAATTTTTGCATTGAATAATTAGCATAAAAACAAACAAACAATAAAATAATTTTTAAATTCCATAGTCCAAATAAATAGTTTAAATGCCCTACAAAAAAGATAACCCTTTATGAAGTCGTCAAAAAACAAATGTTAGTGACTTACGACAGTTTTTATATACACAAAACCCTTTCAGAAAAAAATAAAATAAAAAAATAAATAAATCTCTATAGACACTTAACCAAACTAGACGATGTCATCTTCCGCTTTAAATTTAGACACACCAACCTTACCCTGACTTGACATCTGTGAATGTAACTGAGATATTGATACAAATTATTAACACCTTACACCCCTTTTCTTTAAATAATTGCTCTAGCCGTTACCATAGAAAATTTGATTTCAATAATGAATATGCTTATAAAACGCGAAAATTTCAGAAATAAAATATTCCAAAAAAATTTCGCTTGAAGATGGAACAGAGCTTAGTACTTTAATTCAAATAATTATATTGAAGTTTTCGGCTCTTGTTTTTGAAACATAAGAACTCATATGTAGCGTGTTGGAATCATATCTTTAAATAAATAATTATATATATATATATATATATATATATATATATATATATATATATATATCAAAAAAAGTTTATATCACGAAAATACGCTAATAAATCATAATTTATTTTGACCAGTAAGTCTCATCAAACCGAAGATATTATATATATATATATATATATATATATATATGTGTGTGTGTGTGTGTCTATATATTGATATAATAGGAAAGAATTGTTAGATTGATGATCCGAAGTTCTTTAGTATTTTTATTTTTATTTTTGAAAACAGTGCTCGATACAGAAGTAGAGCCGAGATTATAATTATTTTTTTTAAAAATATGATTCCATCGCGACGCAGAAATCCAGGTTTAATTTCAATATTAAAGCTTAACTAATGGGTGGCAGTCTTATCTTTGGAATCCAAACATCGCCACCCGGTAGTTAGGTTTTAATGTTGAAATTACACCTGAATACTGCTGAGCAGTTTCGAAACATTGTAATTTCTGTGTCGCGATGGAATCATATTTTTAAAAAGCAATTATATAATATATATATATATATATATATATATATATATATATATATATATGTTGATGGTTGCTCTTAAATCTCAAGGCCCCCTCAATAGTCTACATGTTGCGCGTGCGCGTGTATATATATATATATATATATATATAATGATATGTTATTATTAATGCAAAATGTATGACAAATTGTAAAAAGTTTACCTGTGGCTCGTTTCGTCTTTTGGTACTTCATCGAAGGCGAAATGCATTAAAGAAAAAGTTATCCCACAATGCCCACACAAAATACTAAAACATATTTTCGATGAAGTCTTAATAGACGAAACGCGTCACAGGAAAACTTTTTACAGTTTGCCATACATTTCTCCCTTAAAAAATATATATGTAATACCAATTTGTGGCTAGTAGAGATAATTCCAAGTGGATATTAATTTGAAGAGAGCTCAGTGTGAATTTAAATTACACAGCATTGGAATAATAAACAAGAAAAAACCTTAAAAATCTATTTCGGTTATAATTTATGTCGTGAATATTTTTACATTCATCTCTTGAGAACGAAAGTCCATATAAATTTATTAAAAAGTTTCGAACTGAAGTGATGAATATAAAAATATTCACGAAATAAATTATAAACGAAATGGATCTTTAGGATTTTTTCTTGATTAATTATATATATATATATATATATATATATATATATATATATATATACACGCACACACACATATATATATATGAAGAAATATAGTTTTAAGGTATGATTGCGTTTAGCATGAAACAGCCTGTCGCCTCTGAGTGTTGACTTCAATGTTCACTTTTATATTTACATACGCACCATCTCTGATATTGAGTACTTTATCCCATACGTACATCATACCTCAAAACTATATTTCTCCATATATATATGTGTGTGTGCGTGTGTGTGTGTGTGTCTTCTGTTTCATGCTAAACGCAATCATCATGGCCTGAGGATTGCGTCTAGCATGAAACAGTCTGTCGCCTCTGAGTGTTGACTTCAATATTCACACACACACACAACATACATACATATATATATATATATATATATATATATATATATATATAGTATTGAATATTTTAAAAAAAATATTTCCTATGTTCTGGGCAAACGGATTTAAAATGAATGTTGTATTTCATTTAATAATTTTCAACGATTAATTAAACCCCTCCATAAATACATTTCAGAAATAACTAGATATAAAGCTACGAATTGGAGATGTCAAAATCAAACAAGTTCAGAAATTCAAATATATGGGAAGTATTTTAACAGACGACGGAAAATGTGACACCGAATTATGAACATTGAAACAACGAAATATGCCTTCCAAAAGCTAAGAAAAGAAATAAAGCAAAGCGTTCTAAACAGTTACGAATTATCAATTCTCCAATACGACAGTGAATGTTAGACAATTTCCTCACGGATAAGAAGAGACTTGAGGTAGCAGAGATGTAGTTCTGCAGAAGGATGCTGAGACTGCCCTAGACTCTGCATATGAGTAACAAAGAAATCTTAAGGAAAGTCGAAACAATAAGTAAACATACACATATAAGAATAAAGAGATAGTTGAAATTCTGGGGTCACATAATAAGGAACGAGAGACTGGAGAATTTGACACTCACAGGATATAATGAAGGCAAGAGAGCCAGAGGGAAAGGGCCATTAAAATTAGACGTTTTTTGCGGAATGTTTGATTGTTTCGCAAGACAATGTTGAGGGTAAATAGACCAACTAGCTTCCTGCATTATCAGCAGATATCATTGAACGCATTCCCTGCGACTGATACCGCTGAGATCCGTTTGACAGATATTCGGGCAATCCCTTCCAAGCATCAACATGAACCATTTTGGCTTCAAGGCATTCTTCTCTTTCTGAATTTACTGTTGCCATTCTTTTTTTTTTTTAAACTTTTGTTGGCTTTCTATGTTGACGTAAGGTTCGCCTGCATAGGTCCCGGGTTTCTCGACAATTCAAATGTATGTTTACTTGCCATTTAACGAGAAGACAGCTAACTATACTGATAAGCATATCTTCTTTACTTCTATCAAGGGAAAATCCTGATCTAAAAAAGGGGGTCCCTCAAATAAAACGGGTATGTGGAATAAAATGTCTTGCTCGTCTCTAAATGAAAGAAACATGTTACGTTTTAAAGCTCTCACATTTTCACGGGTATTTGTTTAGAACGATTTTCGGGGCACTTGGAACACATAGAGGCGAGATTTTGATAGCAAAACATTTCCATCATGAATCCCTGCGGGGCCCTTGTTGATTTTACAAGCATAACAACTATTTTAGATGACAGAAGACAGAATGTAATTGTTTATATAGCTTTCTTTCAAAATCCAATCCTATTTGAATATATTTAGTAAGCTATATGCTTTTTTTTCCTTCACATAACGTTGAAAGAACGGTTCTCGTCCAATCACCGAAGTTAAGCAACATCGAGCCTGGACAGTAACTGGATGGGTGACCGCATGGGAATACCAGTTTCTGTAAGCTTGGATGTGTGTGTGTGTGAGAGAGAGAGAGATACAATGGCTAACGGCTCGGGATTGGAAATTGGAAAGCCGAGTTTGAATTCCAATCAGGTTCGTTGGATTCACTTAAGCGCAAAAAGTTGGAAAAGTTATGTATTCACATTTCCTCTCCAGTAAATCATTCTTATCTCTAAAATTTTCTTACAATCTAAATATATTTTCTGACTCTAAATAACCTACAAAGTGTTGATAATACGTAAAAAACAAATCAATTGATAGTAAACTTTGTAAATATTTAAATTTTAAAAGCGCAGTCGATCATGGCCCTTTACAGCTTTCTTTTTTTTTTTTTTTTTTGCCAAGTCGTTTACCGTTGTCTTCTCGGCGGGTTCTGCATTTAAAGTTTTTTGTTTTTTCTCTTGGACCAGCTAAGGTTATAGAGCCCAGTCTGCCTTATTATTTTGCCGACAGCTGGTGAGAGTCGAGAAAAAGATCGATTTGTATCTTTTACGAAAATATTAAAAAGCTCCGGACGAAATTCGAACTTGCCCAACCGATTCAATTTTCAACATCGATAATAGTTACGCCACCCGCACATTACCATTCAGATTAATTCAGTTAAATGAGGTGAAAAGGGGTAGTAAGAAGATTGTCTGGCGCCAACTTATGAAGTGATGCAGCCTTGTAATTATGCACATAAAATAAGCAGCTGCCCCCCTCCACTAAGCAAGTTCGATTTTTCCTTTTTAATAAAGTCGCGAACGATTCTTCTTCTTTCTATGTACGGTGTTTCTTCAGGACGTTGGCGATCATGACTCTCCACAATTTCCTGTCCTATATAACTCTTAATAATTTTTTTCGTTCAGTTATCTCTCCTAAACCTTGTTTTTCCATCTATTTACTGAAACTCGCTAGATAGTTTATGCGTTGTTTTTTGTCTCTATTACCTTCAGTCTATCTTGTGAGTATCAGATTTTCCAAGCCCTCTTTCCTTTTAATGTGCTCTAGAAATTTCAACTCTTTTCCAGATGTTAAGTATAAGTTTCATTTTTTTCCCATTTTTTTTAAAACTTCGTTGTTGCTCAGCTGTGCAGTTCATATTTCTCATCATCCTTCTGTTGCCTCAAGTCTGTTCTTCATCCGTGATGATATGTTCAACATTCATCTCTATATAGGAGGACTGATGTTGAGTAACTGTTTGGTACTTTTTTCGTTGCTTCTAACAAAAATATCCTGTTTCTTAATACCTTGCTTAGCTTTTTGAAAGCATCTTTCGCTATCCCAGTGCGCCTTCGGATTTCAGTGTCACAATTTAATCAGAGCAATAATGTTTAATACTTGTTAAGAATGACAAATAATATAACGGTCTTTCTGTGCAGATATTTAGCAGCGTTAGATAACTATAGTGCAAAGCAAATTGAAATTTATTAAGATTGTGTTACACAAATATTTTATGTGGAGAGAGATTTACTGTCTTGAAAATCAGCATTCAAAAGAATTTTACTGGTCTCGAAAACCGGCCAATGGGCCAATTATATCACCTTAAATATAAAGAGCCTCGTCAGATGTAACGTCTTAGATGAATATCAAACATGGCGTCCAGCTCTTCAAGAAATGTAGAAAAGAAACTCATGTACAATGTAACCAAAAAGTCCTTGCCGTTTTTTCTCATTCATTAGAAGAAAAAAAGGTATATAGAAAATTTGACATACCGTTAGTCCTCAAAGTAATCGGCATAAATAGAACCTTTTACCAACGTACCTCTTGCTGGTGGTAAAAATCAGATGACTTGGGCGCCAAAAAATCTATGAGTGCCTGTCCTAAATCTGCCTCATTTACGAATGATTTCCAATGATGGTGGTTGTTCAGGGAATGAAAGAGGTGGTAATCTGTTGCCACAAGGTCCGTGGAGTTAGGTGGATGGTACAATGTCAGTTAGAAAAGTCGGTGTATGGTATCCATGAGCACCCGCGCCACATGACACCCGACATGGACATGGAGGAACAGTGCACCCTTGCGATTAACTGAATCTGGCTCCTTCTGCTTCAGCGCTTTTTGCATACATTCCAACTATTGCGGGTACAGGTCTGCAGTGATGGTGTGGCTTGTTGGTAGCCAACAATATATATATATATATGCATCTCCACAGAAATGAGATACCTCAGGTTTAAAATTATTTTCTTTTAAATGAAAGATCTTATTTTAGTTTAAATTTCAAGATGATAGATTAAATTTAATATTTCTAATAAGCGAAATAATTTACTGTATTTCAGAACTAATTTAAATTGATTGGAATATTTTTTTAAATCGTTAAAAATATATTATTTTAGTCATATTTACAAATCTGTCAGCACACCGTAATTCTCTTTATTAAAACATCTTTCAAAAATGAAAACTAATTATATAATCAATATGTTAACTTTCCACAGTATTTTAAACAAAAGGTTTGCAAGGAAATTTCCATTAATATTAGAAAGAGTGATAAGAACGGACTTTAGAAATCTAATTTTCAGAAAAACTGTTTAAAAAAAAGATAGAAATTTTAACCTATAGTGACTATCAGTTAAAACTTCTAATTGGGCTGATTTAGAGATAGATGTGTTTATGATTGTTTTATTTTAGTAAGTAAATTCAATGACGATTTACCTATGAAATAATTTAGAGCAGGGTAGGGAAAAGTGTCTTACGCCCATCTTGTAAGTGACAAGAACTGACTTTCAAAATCAGAATTCTGAATATTTACGTTTACTTGGATTTAATCTGAGAATGTTACTGTAGAAAATAATTACCTTAGACATCAAAATAGCGCAACACACAAACGCGCATGCGCATATCCATACAAAATCAGATCAATAACTCTGTGGACTGTCATAGTAATTGAATTTTCATTTGAATTATTTAATGTATATGAATGTTCCATCTACTTAATCTATGATGACGCGTTTAGTGAATATGCTGACAAGTGAAGTGATTATGTTGAAAAATGAGATTATGTCGAAAAATAACTAAATTATTAAATCCTTGGTTTTCTGTTGTATACACATTTTCTTTCCGGTTCGAAGCAGAGAACATAGGTTAGTATTAACTTTATGACATTTTCCACTGAGCATTTTTGTAAAAAAACAAACAAAAAAAAAACAACAAAAAAACAAAGATGACATATTTTACATAGACAAAGCTCTTCGTAATGTGTGTACAATTCTTTGGATTTCTTTTAGTCATGGGCTACGAGGAATCCCTTCAATGAGTCTATCGGAACCTTTTCTAATAAATCCGAGTGCTCCAACTACAACTGTAATTACTGATGTCCTCATGTGACACATTTTTGAGTTTTCCACTTCAAGTTCCTTTTATTCTGATATTTTTTGTTTTTTAGATTTTCAAAGATACTTTAAAATCCTCAGGGACTGCCATGTCAATAACAAAGCATATTCTGTTTTTTCTGGTCTTTCATCACGGTGTCTGGGCGATTAGATTTGATTATTTTGTCTGTGTGTATTGCAAAGTCCCATAAAATTGTTACAGGTCGAGTTGTAACATCACTGACCCCGGTTACAGATCTCTGTAACCGGGTCTGGGTGATGTTCATCCCAGTTTCTTGCAGTTCACTTCCAGTAAAAGTTGCATATTTTCCAATACAGATATTGGCCCAGTCAATCAAGCCGTTCTATAGTCAATGGGTGCTAAACACCATGCAACCTGATACAAGATGGTCAGCTGTTTCTGGATATTTATCACAGGATCTGTATTTTGGGTTAACAAAATTTTCAGTATGTGTCTTTGGTAATTTCTAGTTAGCAAGCATTGACCTTGTGCAACATGAATAAAACCTTCGATTTCAGCTTATTTATTATTATTATTATTATCATTATTATTATTATTATTATTATTATTATCATTATACACTGATTTGCATTTGCTTTATATCATTATTATTATTATACACTAATTTGTATTTGCTTGATATTATTGTTATTATTATACATTGATTTGTATTTGCTTTATATCATGATTATTATTATACACTAATTTGTATTTGCTTTGAATAATAATAATAATAATAATAATAATAATAATAATAATTGGAGCCCTAGGACTGGCTGGAAAAGATTGCAGTAGACTAATTGAAGGGATTCCTGGAAGTCCATGCCTCAAGGAGATACAAAAAATTGTTCTGACAAGTACAGCCCACACCTTACGAAGGGCTTTATCTATGTAATTTAATTTTTTTTTTTTTTGTCAGTGGAAAGTGTCATGACGCCATTTCTAACCTTAGGTCCCTGGGCGGGACCCGGAAAGAAATGTGTAAACGCCAGAAATCAAAGAAAATAATAATAATAATAATAATAATAATAATAATAATAATAATAATTATTATTATTATTATTATTATTATTATTATTATACACTGATTTATTCAACTTGTTTTCGTTGTTTTCGTTATTAAAGTCTCAGGAGTAGTTGTATCTTCTTTAAGGACATTTCACCCTAAGTGAGGCGATAATGCCACTAAGACGCAAACCGTTACTCGGAGTGAGAGAGAATGAAAAAAAATTGAGAAGGAAGCGGAAAACCAATCCTAAACATTGATAAAACTCTACTCCTATTCAATAGACGAAGAAGGAGTGTGATTATTGGTAAAGTTCATTTCCAATCTAAACCTTTATTTAATACAGTGAAGTAAATTATTCTTATCTCTGATGGGGGAGATAATTCATATTGATTGTTTCTGTGCTGCTGTTTCTGCTTGTTCCAGAGGACATGGGTTTCAGTGAATGACCCATTGAGTGATTTTAGGACATACCAATTCTTGGTGGGTTCATATGGGTTAATTTCATACGTAATACGGTTTTTGAATTTACGTCCATCCGAGAGAAATAAAAACAAACACTCTCGAAGACACGAAAGAAATTATGTAATTCTAGAAAAAAAAATTGGTTCAAATAATAATATAATTCATAACTTTATTATATATAATACATAATATTATATATATTAATAACTTCATTATATATAATA